AGTGGTGGCCAGTGACAGGACAAGGGGCAATGGGTGCAAGCTGCAACACAGGAAGTTCCATCTCCAGCTGAGGAAGAACTTCTTCACTGTGCGGGTGCCGGAGCCCTGGCACAGGCTGCCCAGGGAGGCTGTGGAGTCTCCTTCTCTGGAGATCTTCCAAACCCACCTGGATGCCACCCTGTGCCCCGTGCTCTGGGTGTCCCTGCTGGAGCAGGGGGTTGGACTAGATGATCTCTAGAGGTCCCTTCCAGCCTTAACCATTTTGTGCATTTTGCATGCCATGTTACTGGATGAAAATGCAGATGCAATGAGAGAGAGCGCTGGGAAGGCAGGGACTGAGCACTCCTCAGCAGAGTGCCCTAACCCCTCAGCTACATAAGCACAATTTTCCTGTTTATTTGCCATTTCTCATAGATCTCACTTTTTTTTTTTTTTTTTTTTTTTTTTTTTTTTTTTTTTTTTTTTTTTTTTTTTTTTAAATGGGCTACAGATTTAGTGGGGAAAAAGGTCCTGTGTCTTTCCAGCCTGGCATCTTAACCTAAGACAAACTCCTGAGAGCTGTAGGATTGAACAGCCCAAGAGGGAAACCTCACTTTTCTTAGGAAAAAATTATGTCCTAGTCCCTAGGACATGCATAAACGGTGGGCAATGGCACTGTCATCACTATCTTATCAAAGGAGGGAGTTTCCCTCTGTCCTTCCAGAAGACATCTACATATGCTTCCCTTGGGAGGAGTCCAGTCTGTAAATCTCAGATGATCACACCTCCGTTCCTCCAACCATGACATACAGTATGTCCCCTCCTCATGGGGAGCTGCTACTCTCAGCAAGTGGTCACATAGAAAATTACTATAATGAAACTCAATATACAAAGAAGAGGAAGGTGATTTTCTGAAGCACAAGTGATTACAGTAACTCTCACTCAGTCTTGAATAGATGTCAAGACTCTTACAACCTAAAGGTGCTTGTCCACCTGATCTGGCCAGAGTTGCTGTCTGCAACACAGAGTGCAACACAGAGTGTACGGACACGAGCTAGTGAGTCCTAACATCATCGCTTGTTTTCTTCCTCTTTAGCATCACTGAATTTTTTATGGTTAGATTCTTTATACCCTTTATACGCAGCAGTTAGCATGGGTGATCTCTCACCTCAGCATCTTGCTTACTAACCCTGTAGTAATGCTGGGAAGGCTGCTGCCCATTGTCTCTGTTCCCTCTTTTTGGCTACCTTATCTAAGCCTTCCTGACAGAATAACAGGAAGTGTAGTGGCACATCCATGGGTAACCTTACTGCTGTTATCCTGTTATCAGGGCATGAGTCTTCTAGTGACAAGCCATCTGTGCTACGGCCTTATCAGAGAACAGACCTTCTGGTCCCAGTGCAAACAGCGCATCCCTTGTTGTTTACCCATTTTTTTGCTGTCAGTTGTATCTTTTGTTATCAGTGCAGGCCATTCCTTGTTCTACTGTTCCTTCTGGCATTTTAATCCATTTCCATCCAACGAATCGCAATATTGCTACTGCAAATCTCTACAGTTACTTCTAGCAGAGGCAGAATTATTATTAAATATAATTTGAACACTCCCTGAACCATTTTAAGCCTAAGTCAGCCAGGCTAGCTCCAACTGCTAAAAACAAGCTTGTTCACCATTAAGGATATTTTACGTCAATGCAGATAAATGGCTCCCTAAACAGTTACAGTTTATGAGCTTGTCAAAGTGAGCTAGCTCCAGCTCTAGGAATGTGAGCAACCTTAAGGATGCCTTCCAGTTCTGGACACTCGGGATGCGCCTGAGGCTCCGCTGCAGGGCAGTGGGCAGGAACGTGAAGTGCTGCAGGGGTTGTGTGTAGAACCCAGAGCACCAAAGTCACGGGCAAGAACACACCAAAAGGAGAAGAGACAGAAAGGCAAGTTCTGGGCTGTTCCCAGCTGCAGTATTTTCCCCCAGCTTTGCTACGAAGACCTGAAATATCCAAGAAATCAGCAAGAGAGAGTTTACTCCTAGGAAAAGAAATTGCTGAAACTTTATTGCTAGTAACAAAGACAGTGTTACACAGTGGACGGGGAACTTCCTTTCCTCCCATACATTCTTACCATGTCAGAAACAGTATTACAAAGATTATTAGATATGCACAAAGATTAAGCACTGTGTATGCTAGCTTTAAGGAGAGAGACAGAGACTTGAAAGCTCATACCAAGTATGGACAATTCCACCTCCCAGCATTAATTCATCATTAGCCTAAAGCTAGAGTACATGAGAGAAACCAAGTGAACTCTTCAGCAGTGCTATATGGAGTTCCAAAAATCAAATTCTGCCTTTTAGCATGTTTCACTGGAGAATTCTGGAAAACTTAGTGCTATTTAGCTTTGTGCAAAACAATTGCTACAATTGCTAAAACCATGCTACAGAAAGGGCAATCTCCCACCCAGCTCCTTGGAGAGAAAAGCAGAGATATGGTGCACCGAAAGAAGCTGCACATGGTCATGGAAGATGCTCCACAGTGACAGCCACAGACTCCAGCCCTGATGAGCAGTGCTGGCAAGGCACCTCCTCCTCCTGCAAATGGCAATGACCTGAAGCTGGCATTATTTTAAAATTCTAGGTATTACTGAAAAACAATTTCCATCTCACTACCAGAGGTGAGACTGTAAGAACAGCCTATCTAGACTCCTCGGATAATGTCAAAAAAAACCCCTCAAGGTCAGCAATTTCCACTCAGTGTTATTAAACTTCAGGAAAGCTCTGGGAGCTGAAAGAGTTTTCAGGATAGACAAAGCACCACTTCTCAGTGCTTTTCAGGCTCAAAGGTATACCAGCCTCCAGTGACTTAACCTGAGACTCCCTTCTCACCAACAGTTTCTTCTCATTTTCCTGTGGTAAATTTGCATGTATTAGTCATGCAAATTAACTGCATGACTCTTACCTCTCAAGTGGTGCTGCCTTCCACGTGAAGCAACCACGAAGGGAGCAGATACTGTGCAGAGGACCACCATTCCGGTCAGCGTGAGGCCATCAGAAGCGCACTGCTCAGCGCTCACAGGCAGCTCACGTTCAGCACCCTGACTGCTGAAGGATGCCTGAGATGTTGTCTGCGGGACAGCACGATGGAGCCCGTCTGCAGGCTGCTGGCTGTGTGAATAGTGAAGCCAGGAAGGTTTCATCCTGCTCGCCCCGGGGCCCAGCTCTGCTCACAGGGCCATGTGCTCCTGCTCCCTTGGACCTCCTCTCATGGATATTTGGTAACGACTACACACCCCAGACTAAATCTATAGTTCACTTCCAGCATGATGCGCCACTGATTCTGTGGCTTGAGTATATTGGTGCCCAGGATTTATTCGAAACACCAAACTATTTAATTAACTGAGGTATGTCGGAGTCATGGAGTGATGCTTATGTACAAACTTAATGACAGTGAGGGATGTACTGGAGCAATCAGACTCCTAAATTATTCCCAAATGGTCGCAAAGAAAGTGACAAAGATGAAACCCTGAGCAGATGTGACAGTTTGGAGCAGACTACAACTGTGGGCCATCGCTCATGAGAATGAAGCCTGTACACACACAAAGAATGATTTCTCACAGACCTATGTCTCCTGTCAAAAAGAGGCTGCAAAGAAAGTCAGCTACGTAAAAGTGTCCACAAGCAGATATTCTGACAGTATAGACTGGATCCAGAATTGCTCATACTACCTCAAACAATCTCCCCCAAAAAAGGCAGGATACAACCAAGGCATTCCCCCACCTGAAACTGCCAAGGATCAAAAGTCTGAGTGCACAAGAAGGGAAGGAAAATCCTCCAATCTTAAGCCACCTGTGGAGTCAGACATACCTAGCTAAGGATGAGGCTAATACCCGTGTCCTCCTTATATTTATCTGTAGTCTCCTGACTGCTACAGGGAAACAAAACTAGAAAAGGTGATATTCAGCCAAATGCATCTCTCTCTCTTTTTTTTTTTTTTTTTTTTTGGAGGCTTTCTATTCATTCTGCTACTCAGCAGGGACAGAAAGCATCTGGATTTTCCTTTTGTCTGGAATTTTATTTTCCTATTATTTCTTAAATTATTACTTTTCCCCCTCTTATATAGATCTAGGAGAAATGCTAAACCTAAAGCTTTTACCAAGGAGTCAGCCAACACAGTTTTGGTCCATAGCACTTGCAGAGCTGCAAACTGTGGGCTTCAAGCACAGAGCAGAAGATCCCAAAGGGCAGCATTCACCCAAAACTGAGCCCTCATCAGCCCTTTGCTCACGTTGACACAGCTGCAGCCAGCTCGGGGCAGGACACCGTTGAGTGCCTACACACTCCTCCTGCAGTCTGGAACACGATGCCACCAAGCAAATGTCATGTCTTAGGTGAATACCTGGCAGATGAGCACCTGGCACTGCTCATTCTCCTCTACCATGTATGACCACGTATTGCCAGGCTGAGGAGCAGCCCTGCGGACAGCAGCACTGTATTTACTTTGCACAAGAGTTTTCCCTGACTTCAGTCAAAATCCTTTTCTCAACTGAGAAGCAGCAAAGCAGGCAGATCATAGGAAACAAAGCCTCAACCATGATAGAGAAAAAATGAAATGAAAGTCCGAAGAACTTAATCACTGCAGAAATCCAGACCACACACTGTTAGACAAAACATCCTTCACCTCATCCATGGCTAGCTTTTTGACAGGAGACATAAAGCATGTTCATAAAGAAGGAGCAGCAGGTTTAAAAGGACTAAATTTTGCTTTAAAAGCTGCAAAACAGGGACCATCAGTTGTCTAAGAAACCTGAGCACAAACCTTTACCCATTAAAAAGATTTAACATGTAAAGATCAGTATTTTTCCCCCTTCTCTGAACAGCTATGCATTTTTGGTTGGGTTTATTCTATGAAGCAGACTCCCACTTTCAATCTGGAGCTGGAAAGAGCTGCCCCGTTAATCTCTGCATGCAGGCCCTCCCGGCAGGCCCGCTGCCTGGGAAGCCCATGGCTCTTCTCTGCACCGCACACTGGTTCTTACGTTTTGCATGGCATCCTGGTACTGCGGCAGTGACGACAGCTGTGACTCGGAGTGGTAGGGGGATAACCCCTTTCTGAGAGTCCTCAGCTCCCCACTGCTGGACTGCTGCAAGACAAAGACAGAAAATACAATTAACCATATTAACAGGGAGGAAAGTTATGCCCATTCTGCTTAAAACACTGTATTAGCTCATCCCACGACCACCTCTGTACTACAATCCCTTCCCATAACAACGTCACCCTGCAACAGCAGTTAAAGTGGTCATAGTATTACAGAGCTTTTCCTCCTTAATACCTATAAAAACACTTGCAAGCAGTTGGAGATGTAATTGTCAAGATATACTCCATTAAATCATACACTGAAAATACATGTTTTACTTAAGTTCATACAAGTCAATTAAAAACATTTGTTTAGTTGCAAATGATAACATTTTTAGGATTCCATGTAAAAATAAAATCAGGAAAAAAGACTAGGAGGCATTTTCTAGATCTTATTTTAAAATCAGTACTAGCTTTTCTAATCACAGGCATGCAGAAATCAGGAAGAATTTGTAAACACTGCTTCTGTCATTCACTTGAGCTTACAAAATGTGTATGAAAGTAACAGTTTCTTATTGGTTTATAAATTTTCATCCACTCGTATGCTCTAAACAAAGTCATGTAGATAACTGTAATCTATACAACTCTACAAACCACACTGATAAAAGTAATCAATTGTCTGTACACAAAGGAACACAACCGCTTTGGTCTGAATAATCTGCTCAGGACAAAGTTTCTGCCTCGCATTATTTGTTCTCTCACTCTGTGATCCTGAGGCAGTCTTAGAACCAGAAGAGTTTTTCATTTATAATAGTACATCCATAAAAAGTCGATATATAAGCATCCGAAATCAAGCATCTAGGAAAAGAATTATGTCTTTTTATTACCAATAAACATGCTCATTAACTTTACATATTCTGAGAGTATCAAGCACTGCTCTGTACTCAACTTTAAAACTACATAAAATCATGACCTTTTTGATTTGTTATGCTCCATTAAGACTTTTGCCTTGCATTTGCTGCAGAAATGTTTTCCACTTCAAAAGAACCAAAGAAAAACCACCAGTGCAATAAAATTTAACAGAATGTCTCATAAATCAGCTCAACTCTATGTAAAAAACTTTTGGCAACCTCAAAACTCTGACTGAAACCAAAGCCTTTAGAGACTGTGGCTGTTGCACAGATCTGTGGAAGTGTGGGAACTTCATTTCCAGCTCTTGCTCCCATTTTACAGAGAATTTGGTGCTCTCAGAGCAGATATATCATTTTCTATGAGCACTGAGAACATTTTGTTACGGTTATGTGGTCTGTTTAGAATATCTTCAGCTCTTGATTTATTCCAAAATGTTGCAGTCTTTGGAAAAAATATCTAGTGTGATCCAGTGATTTCACAAACACAGCACACTCACCCTATCAGCTTTCCTTTTACAGGCTGTGAAAAATATGGCCAAGAAAGTCATCATGAGAAATGAATGCTAGCCTTGTATCACCTCATCTACTGGGAACTGTTCGATTCCACATAGAGTCAAGTGACACGGAATGATTTTAGCATATTGGATATCAAAGTTTCCCTTGAATTTACAAGGTGGCATCAGAGAAGACTATGGCCTACATTGCTTTTTCATCTCACACTGGACAGTCAGAGACAAAAAGATCTGAAGCAAGAGCTACCTTTTTCTGTAGTTATAGTGTGTTGTGCAAATCTGTTTCCTTCACCTACCTTCCTTCCTTCCACCGACCTTGGAGGTAAAGACTTGCAGAGGAGAGTTAGAAGTTTGCAAAGAAAAATGATTACTCACCCCTCTAGTTCACTGAGTCCCAGCCATCTGACAGAAGGGTTTTTGGTGGTTACACGGAAAGGGTTTTGCCCTGGCTGCTTAACCTTCCACTGCCTTGCTGTGTGGCAGCTGCATTCCTCACCTCCTGTCCGTGTGCTGGGAGACAGCAACCCTTGGGAGAGGTCCCAGCACTACCCTACCCACACCATTAGTTTGGCCGCTCAGGAGAAATGGTTTTTAGCAGCAATGCTACAGTGACATGTCTTCATCAGATCTCCCTAATATTTACACATTCATTGGGATTTGATATCAGTGCTAAGCAGGAAAAGAAAGTGAATCCCTCATTAATAAGCAATATGACTAATGATGCATCAGAATGAGTAGCCATTATTCCACTTAAATCTAAATTAAAAGTCATGGTATTTACATTGTCAATTCACTCACAAAATGAAATCTCTTACTACCTTACCCAGTTCTCATTACTGAGATGTAAGTGGATCTCAAATTGCTTTTTAGTCAGAACACCATTTAAAAGTACAATCACTGATCATCTCTGTTCATTATCATTGTGGAAGATTATCTCAATTAATGGGCAACATATCTTTAATATATTACCCTTCAGGTAAAATTACTTCAAATTTCTGGAGTTTCCAGGAATTTATCAGCAAAATAATTTCCTCTTGAATTAAACCTCTCCATAGGAGAGCTTTAACTGAACATTTATTGGGAATGTTTTCTAAGGTGAAGTGCAGAGATGGGAAGGGAAGGGAAGGGAAGGGAAGGGAAGGGAAGGGAAGGGAAGGGAAGGGAAGGGAGCAAGTTTTGCCTACTTGTATTAGGGAGAAAAGAATGGAACCAACAAATCAGACACCAAGAAAAACAGTCTGTAAACCTGATTTTCTGTTTTCTAGACATGGAATTTAACTATGTAAATAGAAATTTAACTATGAACATGAGTGGACACTGAGAAATATTTTCCACAAAAATTATATATTTTTTAAATACTTTATATACAAATTAAGATTTTGGTACCTAACAAGTTCTAAAATTGAATAAATATAAATACAAAAAAAAAAAAAAAAAAAAAAAAGAAAAGCCAAGCATAAAACAGCAGACACTTGTTTCTATCAAAGCTTTCTACTCCGCTGGCAGGCAAAAGGAATGGTGGCCTCTGACTTTTTGACCTGATGTGCTGAGTGATTCAATTTGGAAATAACACAAATAACACAGGAAGATGGATGGTGTTTATGGTATTTTAAGGTCAAGGTACTACAAAGAAACATTTATTTTCCTTTCTGTTTCTCTCTAGTAAAGCCCAATCAGTGCTATGGCCATGCTGAAGCAACTGTGAAGATAAAGTGCTGAAAACTTACAGACAACTTAGATAAATTATCTTTTCTATTACAGCTTGGTGCTACTTCTGCGGGAAGGAAGAAAAAAGACGACAGGGATTTAATTCTTAAACACTTTGATGAAACAAAATGCAGCATTCTTAACAGAAGCTAAACACAGAAAGACAGAAATGTACTTGACAGATATTTGCCAGCATTTATGAAAGAGATTAGCAAAACTCTAGAACAACTTCAATTAGCATTGTGTTCTGAAGTAACGGGGGAAAATTAAAAAGTGATACTGCAGCTTCCAGAAACTAATGAATTAGCATTCAAAACAGGGTTATATAAGTAGCCTTTAACTGAAAACACGATTTTCTCCTCTGACATAAGCTGCAACAGCTAAACTCTGTACAGAGATTAAAAATAATTAATCACAAATGATCAGTTTGACTCTGTGCCCTATGGAAATATCAGAGCCTTTGCTGCGAGTAGCAGCTTTGCTTTTCCCCCTTAACTGCCGTGTCCCCACGCAGCCACTGAGGTGTCCAGGCACCTCAGGGGTATCCAGTCACTGCAGGGGGGGAACCAGAGGGATCTGGGAACCCCACAGAGCCACATCCCGCCAAAGCCCCACGGGACAGTCCAGGTGACACCGGAGCACTACACGGGAGCACCCGAGCTGCTCCTCCTGCCACCTTGGAATCACAGAATCATAGAATGGTAGAATGCTTAAGGCTGGAAGGGACCTCCAGAGGTGACCTAGTCTGAGACTAGATGAGACTTTGCAAAAGACTTCAATTTTGGAGGTTTTATTCACACCCATTGAAAAGATTTTCTTTGCACAAATGAGCCACACGAACGCTCAGCCCTTAGAGAAACAGGCCGTTGCCATTTCAGCATCTGCTGTCTTGTCTACAAAACACAGGATTTCCTTTAGCGGTGATTTAAAGACCAGAAGTATTGAAACTGGTCCCAACAACAGAGCATTGGCATCCCACACCGACAATATAAGCCCAAAGGAAACTTTTATGATCTCATACTCTCTGTATGAAAAAAATCATTCTCACTGAATATTCTAGTTTCACACCCTAAATCTCAGATATCAGATCAAAAACTCTGTTGAGACCTGGGCTTTAGGTTATATGTTTTTGTAGGGAGAACAAAGAAGAGGTTTTGATTTTCATATACACTAGATCAGGCTTTCTTCACCTTTATGGACTGCTGTACTGTCCCTTACTTTAAGTAGTTCACTGTCACTGCAGTAAAAATATTTAAACCTACTGGGAATATTTTTTTTTCCACTCTAATTGTCCTAGTAATTGAAACTGCCTCAATTTTGACACTCAACAAGCCATTGTTTGCAACTGAGTAATTAAACGGTTTAACCTGAAAACATTTACTGAACATGCTGGTCCTGCAGAGATTTAGCTAAAAGTACCAACTTCTTTTGCAGGCAATTAGTTTTGATTTGAAAACTCAGATTTTACTAACAAATGTCTTCTACACAAGTACAGAATGGAAATCAAATGTAATTAGAGGCATATTTAATATATTCGGATGATTAAAAAATGTAAATAGCCATCATTAGCATGTGAAAGAACAAGCAATCAGAGCCCCAAACAACCAGCACCAGTATTAAAAGGCAGCCCCTAGACCCAAAAGCTGTTTGTGGATGCATTTGCACTCTCTACCTTACTGAAATTTCATGGCAAGCTGTTGCAGGCATGCAGCTAGAAGGAACAGAAGAACATTATACAATTGGAAATGTAATGGATAAATGATATTTCACCATCTTGGATACATTTCATCTTTGCTACAGATGATCAAAATAAGCTGGTCTGGCATGCAGCATTGGACAAGATAATGTTAATATTAACATTTGAACTTCTTTGTCCTGTGTTAATGAACGACTGCAGAACCTGTTGCTATCTGCATTAACATTAACACCTTACTGCC